CCGCGGCGGCGGATTTGGCAATGGATTGGAGAAGCGTCATTGATTAGGGTTTTGGGTTTTGTTGAGGGTCAGGTTGTTTTGGGGTTTAGGGTTTTTATTCGGGGGAGAGAAGGAGACAGGAATGGGTGGTTTTTGCAGACAAACCCCTAGAAATTTAAATTGACAGAATATTGCCCTGATTCTAGAATCTTGTTTGAACAATTTTTTAAAACAGCCCCATTTTATATTTTTTATTTTTAAAATCGACCCGTTTTCTTTTTATTTACCAAAACCGATCCATTTTTTGCCACGTCAGCCTAATCACCCTCCTAAACAGTCGGGGTTGTCAACCCCGACTATTTAGGAGGGTGTTAAACCCCAATTAGAAGCTTTAAACCCTAAAATTTTATGTCCTAAATAGTCGGGGTTGGCAACCCCGACTGTTTTGGAGGGTGATTAGGCTAACGTGGCAAAAAACGGGTCGGTTTTGGTAAATAAAAAAAAACGGGTCGATTTTAAAAATAAAAAAAATGAAATGTGGTTGTTTTGAAAAATTGTTCAATCTTGTTTATATCTTTACTCCCTCACATTTTTATAATTTGCATACTCACTTCGCTGGCATGAAGTTTACGCATTTAAATTAATTGCACTTAAATACCCTATAATTTTCCTTAATTTGCTCTTATATAGTCACTTATTTTCGGTAACACTTGTACACCCTAAAGTTTTTAAAACATCCTCACTATTTTGCCGACACTTATCTGTCCTAAAGTTTTTATAACTTGCATTTAAATATTCTATTTTTTTTAAATTTGCACTTGTATACTCCCTTGTTTTTGACAACGCTTATATACCCTAAAGTTTTTAACGCTTGCACTAATACACCCTCATTTTTTTTGCAAGCACTTACTTATCCTAAAGTTTTTATAACTTACACGTAAATACCCTAAATATTTTCAAACTTGCTCTTAAATACCACACAGTTTTAAAAGGAGGCGGGCACTTAAATACCTTCAAGTGTGCATAACTGAGGGTATTTAAGTGCATCTTTTTAAAACTTTAGGGCACAGGCATTTTGGTTCTAGTTTTAAAAAGACTCTAGGTTATATAAGTGCTGTTATGCTAAAATAAATGAGTGTATACAAATGCAAGTTTGAAAAACTTTAGGAAGTATAGATGCTAAAAGAAAAAAAAAACAAGCGAGAGAAAGTAAGTGCCAAGTAAGAGAAACTACGAGGCTTTGAATGCAATTAAGCCTTTATTTAACATTACTAGCATGAAAACTTAATGGAAGCCAATAGACTTGCAAAAAGTTGCAGTATTTAGAGAACTACAGGTTTCAATACGCTAGCTAGTAAGCTCGATATCAAAGGCTTTATATACAATATGATCCGAGTTGGTCCAAAACCCGTAGGCATCACCCACTCCTAAGCTACTCCAATTCAAACAATATATGCCAGAGGTTCATACGCAGATTAATAACCATACAACATGATAAACAAAACTTGCATCCATAACTAATTTAAATATGAGCAACACATTCGAACTGCTACATATATAACTTAACATAAACATGGGCATCATTGATACAACATTTGGTTTTGCAACAGAAAGGAGACACCACAAGTGACAATTTACTTCACTAGCATACAGTCCATTACATAAAAATACGAGATCGACTAGTCTTTTTTGGCTTGAGCTTGATGCCTATTTCCTCAGCTCTCAGATCCTGATACCAGAGAGGGAATTGACAATTTTTTAAGGAACCTTGAAATTCTGAGGGATCTAGAAAATTACCGATGAGAAGGCTGCAATATCGACCAAATTCCACTAAATTTCTCTAATTTCGATAGTATGAACGAATGAATTAAATTAGAACATAAGCGAAAATGACTTAAGAGGCGACACGGACGGCAACCTTTCCACCAACAATGCCACGCTTGATCACATCCCCCACGTTACTTCTTTTCACATGATCAACAACTTCTCTTCTCTGTCCGTTAGCGCTTCTTACCGGTTTGTTTTTCACGTCTTTTTCCCTTTCATTGGTAGGCTTAGCTGACCCGGATGCCTGATTTGGTTCATCACTGGATGGGCTTTCCTGATCCGAAGCTTTCGGAAGAGAGGGTGATTTTTCTCTATGAGAGGTTCGGATCCCAAGATTTGCACTTTTGCTTTGCAATTTTTGAGGTTTCGTCGTTACCTTCTACAAAGAATAAAATGAATCACACATTAGCAATGAAATATGTCAGTAACTAATCTCGAAAACTGGAAATCGTGAACCTTAGCCTATAGAAAAGCTGAATATGATGATGTTTCTACATCATTGTTATTTTGAAGATCTATGCGGGTTTAAGTGTCAAACAAACGGAGACTTCACTATGGGGCAATAATAGAAAAATCAGTACATTCATAAGGTTTTCTCAGCACATGAATTCACAAGATTCAAAATATTAGCACAGATTGTATGCAAATTTATCTACATACTAAAACAATTGGAGATTGCATTGCTCATAGCTATAGTGCAACCCCAATTAAATTAGTGTATACATAGATAAAATAAAAATTTATGGTATCTCACTCTTTTGCCTCACCTTCATAGCTCAGGTCAAAGAAAAGAAACAAAGCAAACAATACACTACAGACACCTCATTAACCAAAAAATTTGTTTTTTTAGGGTTTTTTTTAATTTTTTGCCTCAAAGCCCAAAGTTCCCCTCCATTTATTTTTGAACTCACCCATACTCAAAGTTGTTTTGTCACCTACCCCCATTTATTTTTAAACCTACATTTCCAAAGTTCTACTATAATTTTTCGGCAGTAAATCAAAAGTTTTACCCTCATTTATTTTTAAACTCACTTCCAAAATCACTCTTTAGACATGAAATACAAAGTGGTTACTTTTTTGTTTTTTTCACATCAATGTAGCAATATCGCAAACTATATTTGAGTGTGTTATTTTTATTTTTTATTGTTTTGAGGGGTACAAATCAATGTCTTTAAAGGGTTTTCTGCCTATAAATGCAAAAGGCTTTAAATTATTTGCTTTTAAACCAGCTTGATTTTAAAATCACTCCAAAACTCAAAATACTCTGTTGAAAATAATTTTTAAATCACTTTGCATTTCAGCAGTTTGTTATACAATATAACTTGCTACGTTTTTTACGCTATTAGATACAATGTATTGTTAAGCCAAATGCTCAAATCTTTTTTTTTTCTTTTTTTTTCTTTTTTTTTCTTTTCTTTTTTTCCTCTTTTCATACCAATAGCTCCACATTGCCAACTATTGATGGGTTCTTTTTTTAACCAAAGTCTTATCCCCAATTATTTTTAAATCCACCCACTTATGATATGGGTTTTCTACCTATAAACCATAAGTATTACCCCTATTCATATATTTTTAAATCTATCAACTCTTAAAATACCCATAAACACAAAATGCACCAACATAATTTTAAAGCAACCCTGCATTTCAATAGATATATGATGCAAGTTGCTATAATTTTGTTGCAACGTGATATATTTTTTGTTCTAAATAGTTATACAATATAGTTTTAAACCAAATGCTTAAACACGTTATTTTTGTTTTCCATGCTAATGTCAAGGCAATGTGCGTATCAATTCTGCTCATTTCTACATAAAAGAAACAGATGTCCAAAGAAGGGGGGGAAATGAACAGAGGGTCACAGGTAAGCCTAAATAGCATGACATTGGTTCAGGAAACAATTATTGTGAAACTTAATAAATATTGAGCCCAACATCCAAATGCTGATAAATAAAGATGCAAACAGATACCTCTTTGCTATATAATGATGTAGAGGGTTCAATATGATGACTTCTAACATTTTACCATTTACTTCAAGAAAAAACGACAATCATTATACTTGAACATAATGCAGCAAGATACCTTTTTCCCTTCAGAAGCTATTGACGTTGCTTCATGGTAAAAAGAAGGCATAGGGGTTGCTTTGAAATTAAGGGTTCTCCGAAACTGCTTTATAGCTGCTTCTGTCTGTTCCTGAATATTCAAAGACACCATTCATTAAAAAAACGCAGAGTGAAAACAATGGACGAAACAATTCAAAAAACTAACAAAAATGAACCTGACAGATATAAAAGCATCAAGTAGCTAATTGTATGTTGAAAATATAAAACAGATCTGGTGCAAAATGAGAAAAGACCTGTGTTCTAGCTTGAATCTCACTCATTTCAGCCTCCTTTGCATGAAGCTTCTCCTCCAACTTCATGTAATACTGAAGCACATAAAACAGCTTACACATAAGCCAATTATATTACTATAAATTGGCAAGCTTAAAGTCAAAATTATGACAACTTATTTCCTTGCCTCTTTTCTTTTTTCAGCCCTTTCATCACTTTTTAAACTAAAGATTACACCATTTTGCTTTGTTTCTTCCTTAGCAGAATCAGGAACACGCTTAGACCTACACGAATAGGAGTTAATGTAGAATTTCTAGTTAAATACAAAGGGGGAGTTATGATGTTCACTGACCTGCTCACAGGTCGGCGTACATCCATTTCACTTTTTCCAGAAACTGAATGAGGCATAATGGTACTCTTCTTTATTCTTAAGTCTTTCTCAGTGTTCACGTCAGACCTAATAAGTTGCATGTTGGGAAACGAACATCTTAATGATCTCAACAAAAATGCTAATTAACGAATAAGTTAAACATGTTCCCAGTTTGTCGAGAGAAAAAAAATACCTTGGATTTCCTCGACTTACTTTGGCTTTCGTATTTATAGATGGCTGCAAAGTCAATTAACAGTTAGAAGAAGAATATGCAGCATGAAGAAACAAACAATTATATCTTCTGTAAAACTTACATGTGAAGAACCTGTAATTTATACAGGTTAACCAAGTTCATAGACCAACATAAAAGCATCATATTGAAAAATACCATCACAAGAAATTGAAACCTTTCAAATTTCTCTAAAGCTATGATTTATGCTGTTAAAAGAAGTACACAGAAAAAAAAATTATCCTGTTTATGAATAAAATTTAGACTATACCTCTTTTGATGTTTTCGGGTCAGGAGACTTTGGTGTTGGAGCCCTTAATGTTGACTGCTTCACTGACTTTGTTCTCCGAGTGGTTTCAGTTTCTAGATTTCCAGTAGATCTGGAGAGAGCCTTCCCAGAAGACACATAACTTCTTTCAGTTGATGGCTTTCTCATATTTTGTTGAACAGGCAACTTATTAATCTGTTTTGTTTTTGCAGTTTTCTGGTCAACAGCCTCTTTACCCTGCAAAGAAAATTAAAAAAATTCAGCAACGTTTTGCAATTACAGCAATCAAACAGAGAGAAGAATCAGAAACAACAAAACTCTTATCTCAAATTTGTAGAGAACTGCATCAATCATTTTGCAAGTCTGTTCAAAGTCATCTCCTTTCTTAATTAGAAATATAATTATGTTTCCTACATATGCTACCAAAGTCTCACATGCACAAACTACCACTAATATATTCTACTGCATCTGCTGATAAATTAGAATCGCGATTATCAGCTAAACCTTTAGAAGAAAGGTATTATCAATCGCAGAAAATGTATGAACCAATCCCCTTGTTTTTCATATATAAGTTACTTAAAATCTTGTTCAAGCACAAAAGTATAATCATTTATCAGAAAATAAGGACAATGATGGCACTGAGACAGGGGATAATACAGGAATCTAATGGAAGATGCAGAGATGTGGCCAGGAGACTGGAAACCAAAGGCGAAAGGTTATCTGTGTTCAGTAAAATTGTGTGGAGGTCAACTGACAAATGCATTGAGGACCACTGATACACAATATCATTTCTAGTAGCTTTCAAGTGTCCGTGTCACCAGCCCCAAAGATTTGGGATATGACTTGTTGTTTTCTTGTTTGTTTCAGTGGTGCTTGCTCCAATCTTGTTCAATCACAATTATATAAGCAGTAGGGAAGCATGATTATGAGATCATAGTACTGGATGTTGGTGTAAGATGGCTAGTAAATTGGGTCGGGATGTGAATTTTTGGAACAGAGGTGGATAAGTGCTCGACAGTGGAGGATGATAAGGAAAGACCTAACTGGAGTTTATTGGAAGTTGGATATTAATTATGGTGGAGAGTCTGAAGACTAAAGGAGTAGAAAATTTTCTACTTTTGGCTGCTCCTACTTATTCAATGTAACTTTTTCGTGCACAGGTAAGTGTTGTGACAAGACCACTACAGTGGACTGTCAATGATGGCGACTGATACGGGTGTATCTTCTCTTCGGAAAAGCGATCTTCATGGGAGCTTGAGGATAGATGATTCTCATGATATCTTGAGAATAGTGGTGTGAAGCGACACGACGGAGCACAGGTGGAAGCGTGGAACGAGACGGCGAGCAGCAGATTCGAAGAATCCAGATTTCAGCTCGTGAGTCGACTCATACATGTACATGAGTCGACTCATCAGGTTGAGTCGACTCATGCCTGTCATGAGTCGACTCATGAAACCCAGCCGTTTTGTCAAAAGTTTCTGTTCGGTCGACTCATCGAGGTTTCCTGGGCAGACTTGGTTTCTGTTTTGAATGAATTCTAGTTGGGTTTGGTTTTGGTTATTTACCAGATTGCCACCACGTTGTAAACCCTATAAATATGGACTGTTTAGGGTTCTAAACAGAGGGGAGAGGCCAAGATGTAGATCTAAATGTTTTAGGTCTAAGTGAGATCCTAATCAAAAGGATTAGGGTTTAGATTGTGATCATCCGAGATAATCTTAGAGATCTTAGATCAGAGAGAGATTCTAATCTTTGTATTAGGGTTTAGGGAGGATTGAGAGGTTGTTCTCGATTCTAATGAGATTGTGAGAGAGAGATTTGTAATAATTGATTCTTCATAATCTAGAGAAGGTATTTTCCTTCGCCATGATTTGTAATAATTGATTCTTCATAATCTAGAGAAGGTATTTTCCTTCGCCATACTGAATTGTTCTTGTGTTTTAGTTGTCTTCTTCTCAACTCACCTTTTGGTAATTCCGCGACCAAAGAGTGCTCGCACGGCGACTCGTATCAGCGACACCAAATGAGGTTGACATAATTTGATGGAGGAGGTTGGATGGAGGTCCCTGCATATGGCTTGTGGAGATTGTTGATGAAAGAGAGTAAACACTTTGTAAGTTTATCATGAATGACATAATTTTGGCAATGTCTCTGTCTAAAATAGAGTCCAAAAGGTCGTTATTGGAGAAAATAAACATTAGTTTTTTCAATTCCTTTTCTTTATAGATTTGTTTCAAAAAGACATAACAAAGTTCTACGCTGTCCAGAGAAATCTTCCTTTACCCGGGTTTCAGAGCAGGAGTCAAAGAAAAAGAGAGGGAAAAAAGCATCGGAATGTATAGTTAATAGGGTTTATTTGGTTTACAAAAGAAATGTTGGTTTACAAATAAAGTACTTAGCTTTAGCAACATGCTATCCTCGTGAAGAGATATAAGCAAGCAAGAGGAACACATCATAAGTGATCATCAGCATTGCAGATGTATTCAAAGATTAAACCAGAGAAATGTCGCTATAAGTTGAAATGATACTGATGATCTCTTACCTTGAGTGGAGCTCTTTGAGCTCTCTTATTCAAGGTAGGTGATTTCTTCTTCTCAACAACAGGCCTATTAGATGAGACATCACTCTTCAATTCCTCCACAATTGTAGCTTCCTTCTTTTCTACCTGTTCTTCCACAGCTTCCTTCTTTTCAAGTAGTTCCTCCATAATCACAGCCTTATTGTCAGGCTCCTGTTCAGAAACTATGTGTAAGTCGTCCTTATTTGACATCACAGGCTCATGTACCCATTGATTGTGAATAACTTCATCATGATCTGATAGTTCACAAGTACGGTCTACAGCTCTCTCAACATTATAAGGCACGGACTCTGCTGAAATTTCAGACGGCCAAGTTTCTTGCAGTTCACACTCCATCATGTCATGTCCATCTGAGCCAGATGGTGTGTCATCATACCAAATGAATTCAGGTCTTCTTTCATCATCACCATGATCTTCAAATTCATCAGAGCATCCTGTGTGGTGATCAAGGTCATTTCCAGCAGTCTGGCACTCAGCTGTAAATTGATTCTCCAATGAAGCCTGAGGAAGAAGAGGCTTCTTCTTGAAATGGGCTTCTAGGATAGCTCTCTTCTGAGTAACTGAACCGGGAGTAGAGTATTTCTCAACCTCCTCAAGGTATCTGTTGTGGGAGAAAGACGATCTTCTTTCCCAGGACAAGGATTCTAGTTCAAATCGTCCAAATGATATGGAACCGGTGGGCAATCGATCAGCCTGTGAATGCAAGAGTAATCATAGACATCATTCAGTAAGTGCTTTAGTAGATCTACATATATCTCAGTCATAGAATCATAGATCTGAACAAGTGAAACTTCTAGATAGATAGACCGGTTAGCATCAATTGCTTCCCAAAGGATATACATTTTAAAAAGAAATCAATTTCTTGTCCAAAAAAAAAGAAAAAGAAAAAAAGAAGAAGAAATAGAAATCAAAGTCAAAATATTTTGAGTAAATGGTTTCTTATGGATTTTTACTTTATGAAGCTCTTTCTAGACCATTACAAACATATTATGGACAAGAATTTGGTGGTTACTTTATTGACGAGCTTCTCTGAGTTAATAATTCAATGGTCCATTTAGACAAAAAGGATAGTGGACCCTTTTGCAACATAACATAGAATCACTTGAATAACAAGGGACACATCTTATAAAACTTCAAATATCACATAAAACACATGTCGATTTTTCATTCCCGAACCATATTATAAATTCAAAACGTAACCAGCTCTTAAAATAAACTCTAAAGAACAGAAAGCAATTGAAAAGCTAGGCACCTGAAAGCTAATGCAATCCTCAGTTTCTCCTGCCATAGCATCCCAAGAAAAGCTTCACATGCATCTACAACATCTGCAAACCCAACAGAAACACTGACCCAAATTAGCAATGTACTCCCAAAATCATTCAACAATTCCAACAACAAACAATATAACCACTCTTAAAAATGGAAGTAAGATTATATATCCATAAGTCAAATACAAACATATACAACATAAGAATGCACATCCACAGCAAATTGATCCCAGGATTATCAAGCTCGAAAGAATGCCAGCCAAGTTCCTCCATGTATTCTTCGAATGATGATTTACATAAAAACTGAATTTAGATATTAAATCTCATCCACAAATTTACTAAAAAATCAGCATAGCAGCTTGTGTAGAACGGGGCAATGTCAGACAACTTCTCAAGTTTAAAAAACTCAAAATATCCCAAAAAGTAACCATCGTTTTCACATGGATATAAAATTCAAAAAGATGTAAAATAAAATAACCACCAGCATTTGTCTTTGCACAAAGTATCATAAAACAGAAAAAAAAACACTCAATTATCCTCTCCCTTCAGATTATGTAAAATTCAAAAAGATATAAAATAAAATAACCACCAGCATTCGTCTTTGCACGAAGTATCATAAAACAGAAAAAAAAATCACTCTATTACCCTCTCTCTCTCTCTTCAGATTAGAAACCCTAGCCGATAGCTAGCAAACCTCAACAATCATCAATTTCCACTTAAAAAATTCACAGAATCGCAGAAATTACCCAAAAATCAACATAAAAACTTCTCTAAGACGTAAAAAATCACTTGAACCAATAGAATTCAAGAAATAAAAAAAATCTAACATCGAATTACAAACCCTAGCCCCAGCAAGACAACGACCACGTAGTTCCACTAAAATCTTCACCATATCGAATGAAACCGAGCTCGATCGATAGATTTCCACTCGATCTCTTCAAATATTCCACTGAAACTCCCTCCGGATCAGCGAAGCACGCGAATCTTCCGACTCTCGATCGCGATCTCAGTGAGGGGGTAGAGAGAGAGAGAGAGAGAGTACAGAGCACCGTTCTTCACAAGATAAGAAAAGAGTACTTAGAGAGAGAAAGTAGTTTCTCCGTCTTCGGCTGTCTCTTTTTGTCCTTATTCACCGCTGAGTCCCACTTCACGCCGTTAGTTTTAACGACAATCTGGCTGTTACATATGGCTCCGACACCGACACGTGGCAGCGGCTCCATGATTTGACCATCTATTGGGCATGCAAAAGTCACAACGCTTTCGAGTAGTAAATGAAAGGGATTCACGGATTCTAATGTGCACGTGTCGTTATATTGTTTGATAGTTAAGTGTTTGGTGTTATGTAATGAGTAGTCGGTCCACCGCCAAAAAGGAATAAAATGATAAGCACACTCCATTTTGGGAAATTTATTGAAGGGGTGAATATAATGAAAATTCAGTACAGGTCCTCAGTTCTCCACATGAAATCCTTTAAACCCTCCATGCTTAAAACCGGGCGATGTATGGGCGCAGCCAGTTTAAAGTGAAGGTAGTGGGTCCCCAGAAATTTTTAAAAAAAAATGAGGCGTTTTAAGGGGCTGTTTGGTTGTATGTTTTTACCATGTAAAAGGATGTAAAGTGTAAAAAAGTGGGTCCCAATGTTAGCTTTCATCACTTTTAATTGTTTGTTTGTAGTTGTGAAAATAGTGTAAAGTGATTTCATATGCTGATGTGGCTTGTAAAGTGATTTCATGAAAAAAAGACATGATTTTAGGAGAAAGCTAACATTGGAGTTAGGAAAAAATAATAAAAAATAATTCTAACCAATATGATCATTTGAGTAGGGACCACTTTTTACACTTTCCAAACAAACAATTAAAGTTTTATTTTGCAAACCAAACAAGTGTTTTATGATTCCAATGGAATAAAAAACAAACAAAAAAAAGTATAAAAGTGAAATTGATGATGTGAACAACAACTTTCCAAGTTGTGTCATAAATACACAACTTTACCAACAACAACCAAACAGCCCCTAAGTGAGCAGTTATAGGTAAATATGTAGGCTAATTAGTTATCAAACAATCGTATAGTTTCACGTGTAATTTGCATTTATATACCCTCACTTATTTCTCGATAATACTTTAGCGTTTTTTAAAATTTACGCTTTGCTACTTTCTACGATGCGAATGTGAGAATTTCTCCAAGATTTTTTTACATATGACACAAGCTAAATATTTTAGACTTGTTATATTTATTGTCAAATCCATCATATTCTATTTTAAAATATAATTGGAGAGTGTTTGAAATAGATTATGGTGTGTTTAACAGTAAATGCAACAATATTTAATGCTAAAAAAATTAAATTTTACTTGTGAGTTACATACGAGAAAAATTCTCTAATTTACATAGCATAAGTTATTAATAAGTAAATTTTAGATTCTTCATGATATGTGAGTGCTCTAAAAACAAGTGAGAATATATAAAAACGCATAGCAAGTGAAACTATAAGGTATTTATAAGTGCCGATTACCCATATATCTATTTAAAGTTTTGCTTGTGTTAAGTCTCCATACAATTAGACTTGCAACAATCCAAAATATTTACCTTCAACTTTTTATGTCGAATTCTTTTTCTTTCATTCACTTTTGAAGTATTTTTAAGTGAATCGTTGTTATATCTTTCTCAATTATTCCTCTCTTAGGCTTTTGCTCTGTTCCTCTTTTTTCAGTAAACTGTTGTAGAAAGTGCAACAATTTCAATTACAATGAAAGTAAAGTTTTCTTTTGAAATCACTTCTATATTTTCCAGAGTAAAATAAAATATTTAACTAGTAATGAAGTTACGTACTATTCAGATAGAGCGCATGTCCAAAATATCCTTAGGTTTGAAGTGCTTACCTACAAAATTTATATATAGAGCACTTGTTAAAAAAGATTTCATAAAAAAATAAAAACAAATTTGGGACAAAAACTTGTGAGCCATTTCATTGACTTCAAGGAGGGTCAAGTCACTTAATTTGGTTTTGACCTGTCTACTCCTTTTTTTTTTCATCTAGAACAGAACTTTAATGTGATTCAAATCCTTGAACATAATTTTGTACAAGGACACTTGTAATAAGGTAAGATGTCATGGATCACAAAGTTATTATTGTCATTACTACAATCAATATCCATTCATTAATAATGAGACTTTTGATCTTTCTTATGGATGATTTCAAAGCAAGTGGATGATCCACAGCATCCGAGCGTGTGGTGAGCCCGTGCCCGCTTTCTATTTTGTTGACCGAGAGTGACCGCGCACCTAAACCCTTGGAGAAGGAGAAAACAAAGAAAATGATAATAAAAATACGAAATCATTTGCAATTCATGGGGTAGTACAATGTAAAGGGTTTGAAATCAGAAAAGGTTCTTTAAAGTTTTGACAGTGTTCAATCATTAGCGAAATGTACTTGGTGTAATAGAAAAAGAGGATATAAAAGCACTAGTTTTTTTTTATAACTAAAGATTATGAGAACCATTGTCCTATTTGTCCGCAGAATTGTCCCCTCAGGCCCTGTTTGACAAAGGGTTAATGAAGAGGGGTTAAAGAGAAGAATTAATGTACTTAGCTCATTTGATAATCCGAATGACTAAATTATTAACCCGTTAAATAAGTTTTATTTTAGCCCTTATGATCAGTTTTAGTGTTTGGGGATAACAATGATTTTGACTATTTTCTTTACAATTAGAAGGGTTAACTCTTATTCCATCTAAATAGGAGTATTAGTAAACCCCTCATTTTGAGGGGTTAACTCATTTTAACCCCTCTAGAGGGGTTAACTTAACCCTTCTATATTTTTTATGTTTGACAAATTATGGAGGGTTAACTCACTTTAACCCTTATATAAATTTGTTGTGTTTGGCAGGTTAAGAAGGGGTTAAGTCTCCTTAACCCCTCACTTAACCCTTTGCCAAACGGTACCTTAAGTAACCATCAAGAGCTATTCAATTGATAATATCCAAAGAAAGCTAGTGGTTCAAAGGCGAAAAAAGAAATAATAGGCAAATAGGACAAATGATCTTAGTAGATATGGATGCACTCCTTCATTAACCTGGTGATCCATCAAAGATTTTTCTCTCTAGTTGAAGCTCACAAGTTAAACAAATTTAGGCACAAGTCAATTGCAACCATTTTAAGGTCTACTGATGAAATTTATATCGTAATTTTAATTACAATTCACCCCTAATATAAGTCCAAAAACCCGCTATTCCAAAACAGAAACATGCAACTATAGATACGGATGTATAAAAAAATGAAAAATGCTGCACCATATCTATTCCTCTATAATAATCGGAGGAACTGAGGTTCACTGTTCATACTACAGTAATTTACTGTTTTAAAAAAATATTATTGTAACATTGAAAATGTATTACAGTATCAGATTAAAAAATTATCATAGCATAGGCGGGACATTGTATCAATTTAAAAATATTACTGTAGCATTTTAAAAAACAGCACCGCGTCGTTTAAAAAACGGAATTACTGTGTGGAGGGCGTGCTTCGCACGGGGCGCACACTAGTGAGAATAGATACAAAAACAGCGCTACATACAAATTACACTTACGTTACAATTATAGCTGTAAGCGTTATTCTTTTTTTTTTTTGTTGGTTGGGAGGGGAAGCCGGGGGGGGGGGGGGGGGATTGGAAGAAGTGGGGAAGTGGTCACTCAATGGAAAAGAGAGAGTAGCCACCAAGAGAAAGCGAGTCTTGTTCACTTCCTCGTTTGTATCTCTCATCCACTCTTTTTCAAACCGTTTACATTGTGCAGATAACTAGCTTCCACCAAACTTGATGCTTGCTCTAAAGTGATGTTGAGTTGAATGCTTTTAAAGAAACTAATACAGTTGACGGTGCTTCAAGTCTAAACCCAGATACATTGTGCTGCAATTTTTAGAAAGTTGGGCATATCTTTTTAGGATATATTGATTAGACGTCCAAACTTATAGTTTTATACCCACTAGAATAACTTTTCAGAGGATATAATTCATTAGGAAAATACAAGGAGGATCAATTTGCAACATGACAATAGATATCGACTCTCTAATCTTCATCCTATTAACTAATACAATGACTTTCATAATAAACAATAAACAAGACCTCCAAACAAGCAAAATACCAACAACAAAAAAAACCAATTCCCTCAGGAATTCTTTCGACGATATTACTATCAGGAGCTCTATTTTTTTCAAAGATAATACTATCTTTCTTGAGGGCAACAGGGTACCCAAAAAAACTCACTCAGGGGTCTATCAGAAACATCGGAACTAATGGGGTTCTATCAGCAATTGGGCGATAATACAGGGGACCCCTTTGCAGTTAGCCCGGTTATACTGATGGGATATCCAAACTTCCTGGTTTCATACTCACTAGAAAATCATTTAGGGGATATTTCATTAGGAAAACACAAGGAAGATTGACCTGCAACATACCAATAGCAGTATCAATCCACTAATCTTAGCTTGTAAGTTATAACTAATACAATGACTTCATAATAAACAACACCTTACATCAAGCAAAAAACCAAGATACAGCTGGAAAAATAATAGACACTCAAGTCACCCACAGGCATACACACGCAAACATAAAGAATTTGCATACGCTACGAAGGGAGCAGCAAGAATTGTCATCTTGCAAACATAATCAAAGGATTTTCAGCTAACAGCTAAGAGGTACATAATATTCTGTAATCATGCCTATATTGGATTGCAATTAATGAAAAACATTAAAGGAATAAACAGTATAAAATTTCTAGCGTTTAGTAAACAATCTTAACATCCTGAAGAGTCTTTCAGGTCTTCACACCACGCTCATGCCCACACATCCATTCACATGGGTTTTTGCTTCGAAGAGTATTTTTAAATTTACAAAAACAAGTAAATGGATCAGGCATCAATCATATGCCTAAAATAGAAGACAGACAAGAGAATATATTTCTTCTCTCAGCAAAGGAATCAAGGATCCATGTGAGTATGTGAGCGTCGCAGAAAGAATCCAAATCAGAGTCAAAATCTCCACGGTTTGGGAAGGCATGGCATGTTAGTTTGTCACCACGGTATACGGGTCCTACCATGTGATTTCGAAGAGAAAAACAAATGAATTTGCAAAATAGAAAATCGACAACTTTCACAAAACCCCCATGATTTGCAAAAGAAACCACAGACTTTATAAATAGAGAAAACCCTTAAGAAATATTGGAAAACCTCGTAAATGGCGTGAGCATGTAGAATAAGAATACTCAAAATGAAACCGAATTGTGGTCGTCTTCTCCCACATGAAAGTCGAATTTGTAGTCACAAACGTTGATTTGTCATAAGCCAAACTTATTACTCTACCAATCAACATCGTTTATAAAGTTCAAGGGGCTTTAGTATACCTTTGAAAATTCATGAGGATTTTCTCTGATTTATAAAGTTCAACTGGGTTTTCTGCAACAAACCTCAGGGGTTTCGTGAAATATTCCTAAAATTGAATTTCCAGCTAGTGGGTTGACTTGCAGTTCTCACCCCATCTGAAAACATAAATCATAACTATTTTTCACGATATTGACACAAAAATACTATAATATTCAAGTGTTATTTAAAGTCAAAATTATTGCTGAAAATTTACAATGTGTTTCATTGAGTAACGCACACATACATGATCATTCCTCAAAAGAATGGATCTCCAATGAAGAAAATGAGCTTTCTTATGTGCAATAAACATCAGACTCTCGCAGAATCCAATGCTTTAATTACTCGACGACGCCATGTTGCGGTCTCTGGGTCAAAGTTTACTTCCCAAGTAGGCCAATAGTGGAGGTCCTGTTTCAGCGTGAATACACGGGGTTTTCCATTCAAGTGCACTGTCCGTATTCGTACAAATTCACCATGTTCCAATTCCTGCAATCAGAATAAATGTCAGCTTGGCTGAAGGGAAAAAATCAATGGAGACCTAAGAAAAGTCAAGGACAAAGGATTAATTGCAGATAGACACCAATTGCAGATAGAACCCTTGCACTTCTATCGTTGCAAATAGCCTTCCTGCAAGATTGCCCAATTGCAGATAGAACTACTGAGTATTTCACTCAGGGGTCTCTCAGCAACAATAGAACTACGGGGTCTATCCGCAGATTGGCCATAGTCCAAGGGGTCTATCCAGAATTAACTCAAAAAATAAATGGTAATAATCAAAATTAAAAACCAATCATGTGAGTTATTACTTATAATTATCTTCCACGACAATTTTAAGAAAGACTGCTTGCTCCTAAAGACCTTTTCTTAATTCTTCCTTTCTCTCCTCTCTTTCCAACTTTATTTATTTCTTCCTTTTGTTTATTCTTTTCTTGTTTACATTGAGATGACCATTTAATACATAATTTGTCTATAGACACCTAACAACCAAGATAAATTAAGTTCGATGCTTTCGTAATTTTAATTTTGATGGCGGACCAAGTAATTTGCATCCTTGAGGATGCAAGTGAAGAATTTCAGAGCACCCAATAAAATCAAGAGAGATTATCTTCAGTGACAATCTATAATAAAAATCATGACTACAGCCTACAGGCCATAGAAATAATCAAGTTGATAATGAGAACACTCTCTCTTTTAGTTTCTCCCTTTTGTTTTTCCTGTCCATTCTTTTCTTGTTTACATTGACGTCTGATGAGTTTGGTCCATAGGCACTTTAAAACATTATACATTAGGATCTCATGCTTTGGATAATTCAATTTTAGTGGCACACATATACCTTGCATCAACAGGATGCAACATAAAGTTTATACAATCATAAAGAATTGAATTCCAAGGGGTCATCTCTTACCAAAAAGCGTCTCAATGATGATCTTCCATAAATTGTTAGAAACAAGAAATAACTGTTGTACTTCTCGTGTGTGTGTCAAATTGCATGATACATGTCTTGCTATGATTTATGGTTCAACAATCATAATTAGCATTTAAGCTAAATAACGCCAACAATAACTATAAAAACAATGCTTTACTAGAAATTTTTACGCCTCACATGGTACGTGGGAATCCAGTCAAGTGAGAAGGGGATAAAGGACTGGAATGGAAAAAATATGGGAATGAAATGCTCATTTTCATTATCACATTTGGGTATTATTAGAAAATAAAGTGGAAATGACAATTTTTTTATTTTTTGTATTGGGTAATTAATAAGCAATGGGTATATTTGGAATTATTTTAATGTTTTTATTCCAACTTAAGTGGGAATCCTTATTCCCTACTGTAGGCTGTCTAAAAATCACAATGGATAGCTGAGTCTCCATCGAACACTGATGATGGAAGTTACAATCTGACGACTTCCAGAAGGCTACAATTCGAAGATTTTCACATGTCAAAGAGTTAAAGCAAAGATTACAAAACGACAGTCTTTAGCAATACTCTGACAGAAAGGATTACAAATCGACGATCTCTTCAAACCAAGACGTGGAAGTCCTCCCCGCGTACCATCATCAAGACACTACACCGATTCAATCACCTACGCCGCTTCAATAGCTATAAACACGAATGCAGCTTCTTATGTGAGATGATTGATCTTGATGGCTGCGACAACAACATGACTAATATTATATTGGCAACCATTAGAGGTGCTGATGAGCAGTGTAATGATATTCGACACACTCAGTAGAGATCATGACCTGCAGTTGATAGAGCGTTATTGAGATGCCTCAATTGTCACAAATGGCCTGAATAAGACCTTCTTTACTGGTGTCATCCATATATAAAGACAGAGAAATCTAAATACTACGACAATCAACAGCTCGAACGCAGCTCCAATCGCTGCCAAGCACAGCTCGAACGCAGCTCCAATCGCTGCCAAGCACAGCTCGAACGCAGCTCCAACCAACATCGAACGCAACTCCAACTGACGTCGAACGCAGCTCAATATAGCCGCAGAACGCACCTCCAGATGCTGCGTTCAAACACAGAATTTAGGCCAGAACGCATGTCAAAGCTCTGACCTGTTCAAACACGATCCAGGCGGTTTCGAAGTCCGCTCTTCACCCACGATTTGAGGAGTGGCTTAAGTGGGTTGTTACACCCGATTAATGGGGTAACTAAACCCCTACTTAGGTGCGGATTATGAGGGCAGTTACACCCCTATCCTCCTATAAATATCAACAAACTCAACAGAGTTAAGGGATCTCTTTTTGGAGGGGGGAGATCGGATTTTTGATAATCAGATCAAGAGAGATTTCTTTTCATTAATCGGAGGGGGATCTTTCAATCAAATCTTCCAGAATCAGAAAAAGGAGGATTGACTCCTTACACAGTCTGGGAAATCAACAAACGGAGGATCTCTAAACCATCGATATTTGGCTTATCAACCGAATTATTTTCGGTTCCAACAACTCTATCATTAGAGTTTGTTACTTGTTCTGAATCACAAAACTCGACAAGAGTTATCAACCGGCCAAGACAGTTGTTCCAGTGAAGTATAGATATTCGGATCGTCAACGAGAAGCAAACTCGACGCAAGCATTCGAGGGAGGCATCTCATCGCTACCGTGAAGAACCCAGAATTAAACAAAGGGGAGAATCCAGATCATTCTCTTCTCTTTTGTAACTAGGAATCCAAATTGTAATCGAGAGTTGAGAGAGTTGTAATCATTCTTTTTCTAAGCAGTTAGAGAGAATAAAATCAAACGCAATTCTTTCCTTATATTCTTTTTATTACAAAATTTCCCACAAACAAAAGATGGCGACTCCACTGGGGACTAGCTTCTCTGACGAAGAGGTGGTGGCGCAATCCGACGTTCACCTCACTGGAACAACCGTGGAAACCTTGGTCGTGGAATTTGACCAAGCCAAATACGAGGAGGCTCTCTCTTCCGGATCGCTCAGCCCTAAGGCTAGGCGAGATGCTTGTAAGAGCTCTAAAGAAGTCTTAACTGCTGTTGAGACGCCAAAGAAAGTCCTCTCCTTTGGCCAAAGCCTCAAGCTCGCTCTGCAAACCGAAGATCACACGCCTATGTCGACACAGCGTGTACTTGGTTGTAAAAGGCCTATGACAGAGATAAGCACAATCAACGCCGGTGTTGCTGATACTAAGGCTTTGAAACAAGCCAAGAAAAACGCTGCTCGACGACGAAGAAGGTCCATCCGACGAGCACACCTCCGAGAAAATCAATCCCGAGTCCAACGCAAGGATTGCGTCTCCGAAGATCTGCCTAAGCATTGCGAACGCACACTTCGAGGTAATGAATCCAATTACAAACCTCGGGTGATTCAACTTAAACGCGACCCTCAGTGGTGCGTTGTCCAATCAAAGCACAGCCCTGTTAAGGGAAAACAAGCACCTCAAGAGTGCGTCCAAACAAAACAAGACCCTAAAGGGTCTGTTCCTTCAACTAAACGCAGGCCAAGGCCTAGTGTTTATAAATCAAAACGCGACCCTCACGCTTCGACGCCCGAATGCAATAGGGTCCGTCAGGTTCAACAAGAACCAATTTCACCCACTCAAGAACAGGGAGTTTCATCCCCGATGAAGAACTGTCCTCGGGTCTCAGATTTGCGAGAGTTGCTTTCCAGAGAAAAGCCAACGCAACGAGCAGCCCATCCATGTCATTGCGAACGGCTTATTTCAACAGTCCTTTCCGAATGTCACTGTTGTATTCCTGAACCTCGCAGATCTGTATTCGACAGATTGACTGACGTCGCAAGACCTACCAAACGACGACGTCAAAGGAAGAGAGTATCGGAAGCCGAATACCCGCAAGTCTCCGTCAACATGACCAGCAGGGGAAAGGTCCCATGTCCTAGTTCTGACGAGTCAGAAAGGAGCCATTCTCCGACGGTTCGAGAAATTTGCGATGAGTTCGAGGGGGTATATCAACATGCTCGGTCTCGAACGGGAGCTATCCGTCCGGTTAACTACCAAAAGTTAGCCAAAGGAATTACAACAGCTGATGAACATTCAGCAATAGCTGAATCTCAATCTTCGAGCTCGATCGGACCACAAGGGGTATCTGTGACGACGAATCCCGAGGACATAGCTAAAAGAGTGGATGAACATCATACCATGCTCCAGGCACAACAGGAGACACTTCTCCAATTGAAGGATATGTTCGTCCAATTTCTTGCAGAAAAAGGCCACAAACCTGAATCTTCCCGGAGAACAACTTCAAAGGGAAAACAGAAAGCGACCGAACATTCGGATCGTGAGACTCACAACTTGGAATCCTCTTCTGAAGGTGAGAAAGAGGTGGAGAAAGAACTACACCCTCAATCTACCAAGATGGATGAACTGGAAGCTCGCCTCAATGCAATCGCCAACCGAAGCGAGCTCAGCGAGGAGGGAGTAGTGCGGCCTTACCCTGCTGAGTGGGATACCGCTCCTTACCCACCGAAGTTTAAGGCCCCTACCTTACAACCGTTCGACGGTACAGGATCACCAAATCAGCATATCTACTACTTCAAGTCTCAGACAGGAGATGTGTTAGCCAATGATGCCATTCTGACGCGCTTGTTCATCGGCACCCTCAAAGGGATGGCCTTTGAATGGTTTATGAAACTGCCTGCTGGATCAATCCAGAAATGGGTAGATCTGGAAAGGCTTTTCTTGGCCAGATTCTTCGAAGATGACACAGAGGTTTCGGTTCCTACTCTTCTCGCCACAAAGCAAAAGAAGGGAGAATCTATTAAAGCCTATGTGGAAAGGTTCCGTAGCATGGCATTGCGATGCCCATCAGGTATGACCCAATCGACTCTAGTTGAAACTTGCAGGCACAACCTGCAGACTCAGCTCCTCGCCCAGATGGGAGTAGCAGAATGTCGCTCTTGGAGACAACTAGTTTCACAAGGGGAGCAAGCTGAAGAGATTGTCGCTCGGATAAAAGCTGAAGAAGAGCCACAACCCAAACCGCAGCAACAACGCAATCAGAACAATGCCCAGCGGTCTAAGGGAAAAGAGACTTTAG